AGGGTTTGAAGTTTTTGCCCAGCTCTAGATCCAATTGTATAGTTATGCAGCATCACAAATTCAATACAATATCAACCTTTTACTAATAATTTTTAAAAAATGATTTACACAAATATAATTACAAAGAAAAACATAAATATCTAAATTTTTTTTTTTTTTAAATATCAAACAAAAAATATACCCGTCCTTTGAAAGGACGGGTCAGAATCTAGTCTAATCTATTAATTTAGAATCCTATTTTTATATATTATTAATAAGTCATAGTAGGACCACTTAAAGAATTATTTAATATAACATATATTTGTTATTTACATTAATGATAACCAATTACAAATTTGAATTTTATTTTTAATTATAATAAAATCTGTTGATAAAGAATCTTACAAAATCTTACTTGAATATTCAAATATTATTTTTATCAAATAACAAATTAATAAATTTCGTAATTAGTAATATAATCTTATTATAAATCAATGTTAACTAATATTTTATTATAAAACAAGAAAAAAAATTTCTATACTAATTGTTTTTTATAAATTCAGTAATTATATTCTGCATTATATAAAAATAGCAGTCTATATGAACTAAATATGAAACTCTAATAAATAGGTAAACAAAAAGATTTTCTAATTTCAACTTTTTCATTTAAATAAATCATCACTCATCATTAAAATATGTTAACATTCATAAACTATATATTTTATACAAAAATAAATGTATTAACATTGGTTAAACTTTTATATCTGCAACTATATATTTTCTTTTTATTTATATTTAATTTCACAACAATGTATTGTTTGAAAGTGTTTGTATACAATATAATAATATAGAATAACCTTTAGTTCATAAACTATTTAAAATATGTTAATAGAAAACTATGAAATTTTAGTAATTCATTTAAAATATTAATGACAAATCAAATTTTAATTATAAATTTTTTATTTTAATTATAAATTATTTATATATATATATATATATATTTTAAAAAAAATAGAACCAATTTTTTTTAAAAAATCAAAATAATATATTATTGTAGAAACAAAAAAAAATCATAATTAATTAATGTTTCAAACTCAAAAATGGTTGTGTAATCTTCCAAAGTTTTCTTGACAATATATAAAATTTTGAAAATGAATATTCAAACTCAAAATGATAATATTTCAAATTTTACAAAAGATAAAATCATAGATAATAAATAATAATATTTTGAAGTCTTATTTTTTTTTTTAAAAAAACATTAATATAAATAACATCAAAAAATATCATAGATCAATAAAATTTACTAAAACAATATGATAAATACTACTAAGTATAAAATTTAGTAAAACAACAGGGCTATATTATTTAAACAAAATAATGTTTTATTTATAAATCACGTAAAATACTAAAATGATATATGTTAAAAGAATATTTTCTTAAACACAACATTTAAGTATAAATTACTTTAAACATATTTATTTTCTATAATATAAATAAATAAAATTTAACAATGTATTATATTCAAAATGTATATTAAAGCCAAGGTATATTTTAAAGGAGGTTCTCTATTTGATTTTTCATATTGTTATTTTATTGTATTTAACTCAAAATTGTATTAGTAAGTAATAAAATTAATAACAAAGTAAAATGTTTTAAACAAATCAAAATATATTAATAATGGTGAACAAGAAATATAAACAATAATATTATAGAGTTACACAATATATAATACTAAAATATAAATTAAGTATTAAAAACATTTGTAGCAATATAAAATACATTTATAAAATGGAAATATCTGCACGAACGTGCATGCTAAAATCTAGTCTATACTATTAAAAAAGAATCAGTTTTGAAAAATTTACTTATACAAAGTTACCGTACCTATTCATTAATGGTAAAATTGTCTTTTGCTTACTGATTTTACATTACCTTATTATTAGCATATAATTAATAACCTAAATATTACAATAATAGATTAACTCACACTTCATTATATCTAATTAGAACATTAACTTATGCATCAAACTATTCATCTCATCATAACATAGTATCAATGATTTTATTCACATGTTATCATCTTATGTGTATACCACGTATAGAAAACAATACATTGTTATTAATTAAGTTATGAGTCCTTCAATATTTTTTTGTACATAATCAAAACATTGTTACTATATATTTTATTTACTGTTTATATTTTTTTATGCATGATGATGTAAAACCAAACTTATATCTATTCAAATCATAGTCATTTGTGTATATTGGATTCATGTACTTTTTAAATCTATAATATAAAATAAATCATTTTAAAAATATGTCTTCAAGACCAATAAATTAAATATTATTTTAATCTATTAATCTAATAATTACTAAGAACATATATAATTATTTTTAGGTCATTAACTATTTTTTAGGTACGTCATTAACCAAAAAAAAATCATATGTTATGCAATCCTAATATATGATTATATATACATATGATAGTGTATATTATTTTTAGTATCATGTTATGCAACCATAACATATGATTAATGTTATTATTTTGATGATTTCAAAAAGATATTAAAATATGTGATGGTTCTTTAATATCAAAAATATATAATAGAATTCGTTTATAAACATATAACTAAATTAAATATATATTTAATACCACTCTCTAGAATGCTGTTCAAAAATTAAATTTAATTGAAAAATAATTTGACATATAAATTTTAATATATATAAAGGAGAAAAATATAACATTTTTCTGTGAAACAAATGTATTTACAAATATAGATGTACTAATATATATAATCAACTAAGTTACACTATTTTATTTTTCTTACTTTGAAATTTGATTTGTTTAGGCAAATTAAAGAAAAAAAATTAATTTTCTATTTTATCTAACCAGAACATCATTAAATATTCACTTAATCATAATTCAAAAAATAAAAACGCTAACGTAAGAATAAAAAAAAGTTATATAAAAAATGAATAAACTTTCATTTAAAATTGAAATTTTCTTCTTATTTGAAGTGAAAATATTTCTCTAACACTTCATATATTTAAAAAAAGTTCTACAAACAAAAACACTAGAAAATTTTATGTTTTGTCTAGAATTATCAAATTACAAGTTACTTATCTAAGATATCAGTTTGATTGTTTCACCATACAAAACCGAAATACGCAACCGACATAGTTTACAACGTCAATTCAATTTATAAAAAAACACCCGTGTGGTTGTGTGGATCTAAATCTAGTAAATTATTAAAATAAGTTAGCATATAGCATACAACAAATTATATCACAATATCTTACATTATATAGTTTCAAATATTTACAAAATCAAATTTGATAAAAACATTTTAACAAACCATCTGTTAAAAACAAAACTATATATATTACATTAATTAATTTTTATAAAAGGACTTATAAGAAAGATTTGTTATTTATCATAAGTTTAAAAGCTATTAAAAACTTTATAAATCTATATTTAAATTATCCAAAATCTGCCAAGTAAATCTTAAATATTATCGACTCAACAAATATACTTTTTATAAATACAATAACAATATACTTAGAGAGAGTATAAAAGGGCATTCGGGTCAAGTACATATAGGTTTCTTGCGGATCTGGATCCCGTAGATCCTAGATATTTGGAACTAATAAGATATTTTGATTTTTTTTTGTTTGATCGGTTTCTGTGGGTCTTAGTGGGATTGACTCCATAATTTAAATACCTATAAAATACTTATAATTTTTGCGCACGTAATGGACCCAGATTGGTTCGGGTATTTAGGACTCAAAAAAGACTCGACGTATCTAAAAGTCCAAAAATACCCAAAACAGGAGAAATCCCTGAAAACCCAGACAAATACGATATTCAAATACTCAAAAAGATCGGAAAGTTTACTCGAAATCCGGTCCAAAAATACCCAAATTTTTAACCAAATACCAAAATCTATATTTAAAAAAAATATTAAATTTTAAACTTGAAACTATAGCCAAAAACCCAAACCTAAAACTTAAAAAAAATAACATTAATACCAAAAATATTCAAAATACCTAATTATACCTCATATACAATAAAACATTTCAAGTACTTTGGGTAAATGATTGAGTCTCGGATATGACTCGAACTCAAATAGAGATCCATGAGTCCAGAAAATGCACAATAGGTACTTTTACCTAAACCCCAACTGAACCTGTATTTTATCAATTTTGGTTCGTATTTCTGCATCCGTGTACAATGGTCATGCCTAAAAGACAGTTACATAAGTAAAAAAAATCTCAAATAAAATAATTCATAAATTATATAATTGTTTAAAAAGTATTTTTGGTATAATAAAGTTTGTAGCATAATAGAGTACAATAATTCCAAATACTTTCATATAAAATTTTGTTTATAAGGAAAAGAACTTGCGCTTTCGACTCACGGATCAAAATCTAATATAAATTATGGGCACAAAAAAAAGAGAGAATTCTCTTTGTATCTGAAAACATGGAAAATATGCTACGCCTACTTGCTAGAACCTTGACTCTGATTGAAATAATTTGATCGCCAAGATTAACGAGCTCATACGTGGCCAAACTTCTCAACATAACTTGGCCAAACTTCTCAACATAACTGAACAAAGAAGATTTCAATCCTTCAAAGTTTTCTACATACCTCGAGGCCATAATAAAATTACTGTTTTTTAGTCAGAATTTTGGGATCTTTTTGTAGAGAATTATGTTTTGTTGGTTATTCTATTTCTTTCAAAACCACCTCTTATGTGACTAGTAGAATACCAATTCTATGTTAAAATTGCATCCTTAATTTTAAAAAATATATTAATATCTATTGAAAATAATATAAAAATAATTTGAGACAAGAGAAATCCATGACATACGACAAAAGTCAAGTGTTTGTTTCAAATCCAAACATAACACCATTACACGAACTTATTAGTTTACAAGAAAAACAGCATACACACATACAGACTTAACATGTTGTCACATAAGACACTGCAACCTTCATTCATCTATTTAACAGCTGGTCACCATGTTAAAAATTCATCATAATGTATTCGACTCTGGTCACCATGTTGGACGAGGAAACAATGGTTGAACATCTGATGAAGAAGACGATGCCACAATACTAGAGGCTGGAGCAGTGACACCAATGGTCCACGAACTGTCTATGTCTATTATCTGCATCCCTTCTTCGTCATCATCATCATCTTCATCATCATCATCAATTTCAACCTGTATATGTGCATCCTCTGACAATAAACAAATCTTTTCCAACTCGGTAAACACTTGTCTCATGTTTGGCCGCTTCTTTCCCTTTGAGTTCAAACACCTTTTCGCCAGATTTGCCACTGCCACTACTTGTTTTGTTTTGCAACCATCTCTTATTCGAGCATCGATGATATCAAGTAATCTGTTCTCTTTCATGGCAACTCTGAAATAATCTGCCAAACCCTTTATTTCTTGAGAATTCAAAAGGGTTACAACAGGTTTCTCCCCTGTTATAAGCTCAGCAAGGACAACCCCAAAGCTGTAAACATCACTCTTGTCAGTGTATTGGCTAGATCCATAATACTCTGGATCCACATATCCTACTGTACCTGAAACAACTGTTGTCCAATGAGTTTGATCCACGGTTATTGATCTTGAAGTACCAAAATCAGATACTTTTGCTCGGTACTTTTCATCAAGTAATATATTTGTTGACTTGATGTCTCTGTGGTAAATTGGGGAGCATGCAGCATAGTGAAGATAGGAAAGAGCTCCTGCTATATCCACAGCAACGCACATACGTACACCCCATATCATAGTGTAATCATCAAACTCTTCATGGATATGCTGGAAGAGGTTTCCATTGGGGATAAACTCGTAAACGAGAATAGGAACCTCTGTCTCAAGACAACATCCAAGGAGCTTCACGACATGTCTATGGTTGATTTGGGAGAGAATGACAACCTCATTAATGAATTCTTCTAGTTTATCTTCATCTACCATTTTAGATTTCTTGACTGCAACAGTTCTACCATCTACCAGCATTCCCTTGTAAACAGTTCCTTGGCCACCCTGCCCAAGAATCCTGTTTTCACTGAAGTTTTCTGTGGCTTTCTCCAACGTTCTAGAGCTGAATATTTTTGTATTCTCCACATTGCCTTCTCTTGTATATAATTGTTGTTGCAATAATAGACCTCCGTTACGTTTGAAAAAAACCCTCTGTCGCCTTATTTTCCTTCTCCTTATTAAAAATTTTCTCAACCACCATATCGCGCATACAAGGACTAAGACACCGAAACCTGCACCAACCCCTACAACCGCCACAAAAGAAAACTACATCATCAACTGTTTATGTCTAACTTTAAAGTTGTGATGGTACCTAAGGGCCGTGCCAGAATGTTTTGGCCCTCAATCATATTAATTTTTCTAAAATGTAAAGACATATATTTGAAGCTAGCCTTATATATGCATACAAAGATACTTATCAGTAGAGCTATAGACGTTTTTGTGCTAAATATTGATCCCTAAAACTATTAAATCAATTTTGGTCCCAAACATATGTTTGATTATCTTCTAGTCAGACACGGCTCTGATACCGATGATGGGCATATACCAATGAAAGATGTCTATAGCTCAAGATTTTTAAAAGTTAATTTACATAGGTTTTATGGTCACTAAATTGTAAACAATAATTATTAAACTTTACACTAAAGTATTTATAAATTCTTAGCAACCTTAATAGTAAATATCTAAAAATTAGTATCTAGAGAGTAAAATATTACTATTCTAATGACTTTTGATATATAATTAAACTTTAATTTGTATTGAAAGGTTAAGCCAGTCATAATCTAACAACATAGTAAAGTAGGTTGTGGAGAGTATCTTGGAACTTCTTATAGTATCTTGGAACTTCTTATTTAGATATTTTCACAAGAGCTTCTATCACCTTTTTTACTTTTACAAGTTTTTACCATTATTTTCTCTTCAATACTTTTGTCAGATACTAATCATTGGAGGTGCTTTTATATCACAAAGTAAACCATGGTAGTACAATAGAACTTCTATAAGTTAATATCCGATAAATTAATAACTTTATAAATTAATAAAATTCATCGGTCCTAACTTGAACCGGTTCAAAATTTGACAAATCGATAAAATAATAAGATAATATTTTTTTCGAAAACATTTATGTAAATATATGGTCCCATTAAAATTATCAATTAATAATTTATATGTATATATATGTTATATAAGTAAGAACCTATCATTATACTGTTTGTTTAAATTCACATTGAAATTATCTTTATATTTTCTTAATATCTAACATATTTTTTGATGAGATTTAGTAATATATATCTAAAGTTATATTTAACTTCTATTAACATATATTATATACACCAAATAATATAATATAATTAATATAAATTAAGGGAGAATTTCACTTATACCACTTTGGTGATACCACTTTTCATTTTTACCATCAACAAAGTAATATTTTCAAAAATACACATTTCATTAAATGATAAAAAAGACTCTTGTACCCTTCTTCTTTATATATTATATGAAATAAGTATTTAAATAAATAAAAAACAGAAAACATCAATACTAAACTCTAAACAATAAAACATCAATTCTGAACCCTAAACCCTAAAATATTAACCCTAAACACTAAAACATCAATTCTAAGCCCTAAAAATCAACCCTATACCCTAAAATATCAATTCTAAACCCTAAACCCTAACTCTACACCCTAAACCCTAAACCCTAAATTCGAAACCCTAAACCCTATCTTCAAAACCCTAAACTCAAAATCCTAAACCTTAAATTCTAAATCCTAAACTCAAAATCCTAAACCCTAAATTCTAAACCCTAAACCATAAATTCTAAAACCTAAACCCTAAATTCTTAACCCTAAATCCTAAATTCTTAACCTTAAACCCTAAATTCTAAACTCTTAACCCTAATCCATAAAAAACTTATTAAAATTGTTAAGTTTAATTAGTTAAGGGTATAATAGTATTTTGCCTATTAAAATTTTAATGGTAAAGTTGGTTAGTGTAAAGTTGAAAAGTGGTATTTTGAAAGTGTTATTTCTGGCAATTTCCCATAAATTAATGTAATTTTTTTAAAAATAATAATTAATATTATATATTAAAATCAAATATATTTCTTATCTTATAATAAATATACCTTGTTGCCTAAAAAGAAATAATATATCTTAAAAATAAAAATATGTAAATCAAGAAATTTTTTAAATTAATAATTTTATATATTAATAAAATTTTAAAGTTCCAACATTATTAATTTAGAGATTTTACTGTAACAAGAAATAAAAACTCGATGATTACCTGCGATTATTGCTTTAGTCTTATCGGCCACACAATCATATTCTCCCGGCACATTTACACAAGTGTCACTTTGTCTACAGTAATTCTTGTTTTCGGGGCTGCATTCATCGACATCTGGAAGTGAAAAGGTAATAAAGTTGTCAAATATTATAATCTTTACACACGAATAAAAGGAGAGCTTAGGGAGCAATACTGACCTTCGCATCCGTTTAAGATATATGCGTTACCTGTGTAGCCCCTGTTGCATCCACAACTTGCATAACTAGTCTCAAAAATGGTACTATTGTCGCATACACAGCTTATATTGGGAGTAGCAAACGTATTCGTGTTCTTGTTTCTGGTTTTGCAGCTTAAGGAGTTTAGGAATGAAAGATTGTTAGTCTGTATGACCCATCCTAACTTAACCGTCGAATACCCCTTAACAAATAAAGGCATGGGATTTGTTCCGTTGGACTTAGTGTACCTTTCATCAGTTAGGAAGGCGACTCTGCACTCTTCTTTTGCCGAGTTCTCCTCATTTCTCTCTATTTTGACACCAATGACCTGTTGACGGTCTGAAGGCATATCTGTCCGGCAGCATTTATTACCGTCACAGCCTGCTTGGCTTTCTGTACAAACTTCGTTGCCCGGAAGGGGCAATGTGATGTTGGAACACCCAGTGTTGTCAATAAAAGGAATGTTGTTATTGCTATGAACCTCTGTTTTAGAAGTGCAATCTAAGTCGCATACCACCTTGTTTGGCTCAATGTTCGTCAACGATGCTTTACCTTTGCAACCGACCGCTACGAGGTAGTTTTCTTTCTCAAAGAAATAAGGGCTTCCCGTTAAATTTAAAGACCGACCAATCTCTTTTCCATCGATGGAACATCCCATTGACGTTACCGGGATTCTGACACGGAGTGACGCAAAAGGTTGAGAGCCGCCATAACTATCTTGTGGGAGAAAGATATTCACAACAGTCATGTTGAACTTGGAAAGGACCGGGTATTCGCCGACGCCCGTTGAGTTTTTCAGACATTCGATTTTGTAGTATTCGTTGAGATAGCAACCCTCATTGTTAACACCGAAAGGGTAAGGGATCGTAATATTTCCACATGTGGGTTGGCAATCGCTCGAAATGACATGTGATGAATCAACTAGTGTCAGGGTGACCTCACTTAAAATAGAGATCAGAATCAAGAAGGTGTCTAACCTCATCATGCAAGGAGTTAATTTCTTTGTTGCTACACAAGCGAGCAGGACCGTCTTTGTACGTGAAGAAAAAAGACTAGTTTGATCGAGGGGAAGTTTCGGTTACTTGTGTTCCAGCTCCGTACCTGTCCCGAGCTTTTATAAAACCCTCATGGATGTAAATATTGAAATATTATATATGGGACCAGTTTGGGTTGAAAGCTACGCAACACCATAAACAATTTTCACAACCTGGGACGTGTACAGCCTAAAGTCAAGGCTGGGTTATTAAAAAACTGTAACAAGTCTTCTACTTAAAAAAAAAAGATATCTTTCTAACTCAAATTAAGCTAGAGGTGTCACTATAACAAAACAAATTAAGGTTGACCGTGGAAATGTGACTTTCACGGGAGGGATGACACATGGCATGTTAAGCTAACCTAAAACCAAACCATGATAAGTGGATCGACCCATTTACCTTATATATTACTTAGGATTTCTTCTAATTATTGAATGATTTGAGAGATTTAGTTTTATAATATACCTTCTCAAGACGATGGTTCTTTCAGCATAATCTCGAAATGTTCAAATAAGAATCGATAAACCAACTTTGAGGTGGATTGATGAGGCTCGAGTTAGACTGTATGGATCAGCTCTGATACCATATTAACTAGATGGACTTCTAACTTAAATCAATCGGTGATAAGTGGACTGACTCATCTTATATATTACTTATGCTCCCTTCTAACTAGGGATGTGAGAGACTTAGTCTCTAGTAAGGCATATGTTAATATTAGGTTGTGAGTGGGAAAGAATACGATGAAGAAGAATATAAAAATAGAGAAATATTAGAAAGTATACGATGGATATGGAGGGAGAGCAAAAGAGTAATGATTTAAGCCTTATATGTTATTTGTATACATACATTGTATCTATTTAAGTTGTAATTTTTTTAATAAAATTTTTCGACAAGTTTTGATACGTTGTAGTTTAAGTAATATGAGTATTTTGGTCCTAAAAAGGTCAATAATTCACCTTTCTATTTGTGAAAATTATGCCATTATTTTGTATATAGAGTGCAATTTTTCAAATTGTATGTGTGATTTTTGTAACAGTAATTAGAGAAAATAAAAAGAAGCTTTTTTACTTAATTGGATGAAAGTTGAGTATAGGCATGGGCATATTTTCCGGATCCGAGGATCCGAATTGGTACTGATCCAAAAAATCGGTTTTTGGATTGGACTCGGATATGCACACATCGATTGGATAGGGATTACAAAATATACCGGGTACCAGATCGGATAATATCCGAGAGCCGAAAAGTATCTGAACAGATCCGACATATAGATTAATAAAGTAATTTTATAACCCTAAATGCTATTCCCATTTCAAAATCTCCTTGATTATTGTTACCAACTTTGGCTTTTGTTGTATTAATATGATTTGGTTTCTGTTTGATTCGATGTTTCTTCAAGATTATTAAGAAGTTTCTATTTTTATTTGTCTAAGTATGTCTTTGAGTCGGATATTTTGGATAGATTCAGAATTTGTGAATTGATTTTTTTTTGATACATATAAAACCAAATTGAATTCGGTGAAATTTTAGATATTTCGGATATAACCGATCCGAACCGAATCCACGAGCTACCGAACCATATCCGATCCGGAATCTTAAAATACCTGAATGGTACTAATTTTCTTAATTCTGAAATACCTGAAATTTGTAATATTCGACCTGAATCCAATCCGGTATAGGATGCCCATGCCTAGTTGAGTAATTATGTAATTCAGCAGAAAAAAATATTTACTCTACTGTATTATCGCTATACATGTTTTTCAGTCAAAGCCTTAGTTTCCTATGAGTTTTGACCAAAACAACAGTTGCCATCATTTCTTTTTTATAATTTATAAACTTAATGTTTACCTATTCTTTACTCAATTTCTTTATTAGAAAGTCCATGAACGAAATAACCTTTTCAATAATGCATAATACACAATTCACATCAATGTGTAAGTTTTTGATTGAATTAGTCTACGACTACCAGCTCTTAAACACACGCAAAATTAATCACATTTTTAAGGATTTGATTGATTTAAATGTAGTGAGTATAAATGCGATTTGAGAGTTTGAGGAATAATTTAAAGTAGGTAAATATGCATTCAATAACAAGGTAATAATAAATATATATATTATATAACTATAAAGTATCAAATTATATTTTTTATAACTTAATTTTATATTATTAATAACAAAAAATTATGCGCATAATATCTATGTTTATTTTTAAAATATTATAAATCAAACTGATTTTAATAAAAGTATTTTTTTATTTTAGTGAAAATAATTTCTGAAAATGTTATTTTCAGAAAAAGTGTCTATATAGTTACATATATGCTCCCTCTAAAAATATATTAAAAAAAAAACAAATTGTATCAAAAAGATACAATTTTCTATTTTCAATTCATATTTATCAACTAGTAAATAATACATTTTAAAATTATTAATTTCATATTTTGGATTATTATTGATTTAGAATTATATAGAGTAAAGAGATACAAAATACATGCAGTTTTATATATAAATCTGAATGGGTTGCTTATTTATATTTGGTGCATATTGGTTTGCATTATTCGTCCGAGTTATAATACAGTTCTGAATTTTAAATAAGTAAAATCATATTAATTTGTTAATTACATTGAGTCCAGTTTTTTTTTTTAATTCTGTAAATTTGTTAATTTTGTTTTGATAAATATCAAATATAAATAAACTGATATCAGTTTAACCAAGTTTAGCTTTGATCATTAATAACTTTAATTTAAAATCTATTATTATTTTAATGTTCGTCATAATATTAAATTAAAAAAAAAATATGATTGGATGGGTGTTTTCATGTTAGTCGTTAAGCAGTCTTTTGGATTACTATGTGGTTGCTTTTTTTGTATAGATAAGAGCTTTATGTGATGTTCATGATGTTTAAGAACTTGTAATAAATGTTCTATTCTTAATCCCTCTATACATTAAAAGAGAAGTCACTTGGACACGTGGCACTCATACATGCCTTCTCAGAAGAATTCTAGCGATTCTGTTGGTTGATTTTTTAGAATTTTTTTTTTGATTTATTTTTACCATCGACACTACTAAAAAGGAAATCCATTTAAATACTTACCTTTTGTGTTTTCTCGATTCAAAGAACATCCTTTTGCGATCTTTTCTCTGTTTAATTCATTAAATACTCATTAATTGACAAGATATTTTCACTCTTAAAATCATGTATTTAAAACAAAATTAATTGATACGATATTTTCTCTCCTAAAATCATGCATTTAAAACTTAAACCAAAATTCTGGTGCAATCTATTCACGAGATGTTCTCCATTAGCTTTATCAACAAGATATTCCAAAAATAATATTACTTTAAACGTATAAGATTTATTGAGAATTTATTAGAGAATATGTTACTTCTTAGCTTATCATGCAAGCTAAATCATTGAGAAACGTCCATCAATTTACTATAAATAAGACATTCACAGTAGAAGAAATGAAATCATTGAACTTTGTATTCAAAACTTTTTATGTTAATAATGTTCTAATCTTTTTTTTTCTTCTTATTTTATAACATTAAGCTTTTATATTTCATGAGAGCTGATTTTTCTTTTGGTTTATATGCAGATATCCTATTATGACGATTTCTCCACTGAAGCTATATATGATTTGATTGTACACCTCTTTGATATATCATTTCGATAACATCTTTGTTTCTCAATCTGGTAAAAAAAAAATTCTCTATTTGATAACATCTCTCAGCTATATCATTTCAATAGCATCTTTTTGTGCTGCCAATATTTTTTTTTATTAGTAGATTTATATTATTGTTTAGAATTATAAGCTTATATACAGATATATATTTCTTTGGTTTGCTGATTGTGATTTTTTTTATGATCTTTTTAATTAAAATTGATATATTTTTTTTGGTTTGCAATTATATGATCTTTTTAATTAAAATTAAATATATATATAGTAATATTTATTAATCAAAAAGTTATATCAACTATTTTTTATATTTATTATTTCCTTATTATATATCATTTAATATTTAAATATCTATAGTTTAAATTTAATTTACCTTAATGTTTTTAGTTTATTAATAACCTACCTTATTTTGAACACATATTACTTGTGCAACTTCAAATTATATTTATTGCATTGTTTAATTGCAATTTACCTTAATGTTTCTAATTTTTTAATCGTCCATATAAACTTATTTTGAACACATATTACTTGTGCAACTTCAAATCATAGTTATTACATTGTTTTAATGCAATTTACCTTAATGTTTCTAATTTGTTAATTCGTTTTAAAAAAATTACCTTATTTTGAATATGATTTAATTGCACAAGTTTATAACATATTAATTGTAAATCATTTAATGACAATATAACTTTAATATCTTTCTTTGAACTGTTTCATTATTTATTATGAAATTATATTCCTAAACATCATTTGTTATGAAAATATCTCCCTTATAACATAAGAAAAAAGAAAGGTAGAGTATATATAAAGGAGACACCTAAGGGATGTCAATACTAACTTATTAGTCTATTTTTATTCGATACAAAAATTTAAATTTATAAATTCTTACATTTGTTTGTTTTTTCTATTAACAGATAAATAACACAGACGAAAGACCGGTTGTAGTTAACTACAAACCATTTATCAGTTTGTTTCAATAGTGATATTCAAATTTAATATTATTTTTGTCTCAATAAAATTTAGAAATCTATTAAATTATTTTATATTGTACAGTTCCTAATAAAATTTGACAATTTTTCCAGGTTTCTATGAGATATTTTTAATTCATAACTGTTCTTCTTATTTTATATTACTTATTTAATTCACAAAATTGATTGGTAATAATTAAGAATGATTTATGTTAACGCATTAAATTCAGAACATCTATATAGCAATAAAAAGAATGTAATAAATAATACGAATATATTATTTGATACTAACTTATCGTGCAACCATATCAA